TTTGCACAAATGCAAACAAAAATGGAATTGCAAAGAATCAGGAACTGAATGAATACCACACAAGATACCGAGATACTAAGCAAGCTTTACAAATATGACCCTTCCAGTAGGGTTTTCTGGAAGATGTTTAAGGGTGATACAAGGAACCGTTTCTTAAATAAAAAACCATAAGGATTTTAAAGGTATTTTGCAAAATACCTCAACCATTAATAAATACTATTTTTGAAAACACTGCAATGATTGAAGGTAGGTCTCCAAACTGAAGAACAGGTTTTTAGATTAAGTGATGAGACCACTTTAAATAAATTCAATTGATTTTTGTGTGTGTGTGTGTATACTTAAGAAAAATTTGGGAAAATGCTACATTTGTTTAAATTGCCTTCCCTTGGTTTTGCTTTCTAAATAGGTTCCCTGTATCTGTTCACCTCTTAGTCCAATTAAATTCAAGGGCAGCAGATCACAAAAGCTAATGCTACTTGACCAAAATTTCTATTCTGTGTGGCAAGAAAATCAGCAGAAAGCAGCTCAAGTTTTGCTTTTTTTTTTTTTTGCTAGATAAGACTGCAGATGTCATCTGGATGCTAATTGGCGTCATTGTACAATCGTGTTAGATGCCCTGTTCTCATTCAATATTGTGGCAGGTAACACAGTACCTGTGTTCTTCAAGGAAGGATCAGTGACACAAAGGTAGTTTTCTGCTGCAGGGAGAAAACAGACAATTAGAAAATCACTATTTGTATTCAATCTCTGTTTACACTGGTTGACCACATCTCTTGCAAGCGCGCATTTCTCTCTAGCTTCAGAAATACACAAATATATCAGCACCAGAAGTCTCCTCTCGTTTTACTTTGCAATTCAGGATTGCTTTATTAATCAACGCAAGATGCATTCATTGAACTGGATTAATCCTGCATAAGTAATTTTGAAATTTCCTGCTGAAGTTATTTTTCATTTCTGGGAACAAATCATTTATTTGGATTTTCATATATCAGGATCACAGAGATTTGCCACAGTCAGATTTTAATTTTAGTTACATCTGAGCTGGCTTATATATTAGGGCACATAGTTTTGCATGAGAGCATCTTCTCAAATCTGTAATTGGTGTGGAACACTGACATGCACAGAATACATCTGACAAGGTCCAGAGAGTTAGGTTCAGTTTCGCTGATCAACATCTATGCTGCAGATTAACTGAATCTTTTATGGCATTACAAGCCCTCCAGAATTCATTAGTGTACTTTCCCTTCCCGCTAACCACTCTGACCTCCAGCGCTGCCATCTCTGCTTCCTTAGTCTGGACCTGAGAGGCTGAAACACCGACTCTTTTCTGCTGCCGCACTAACAACATAAATGAGAATGTGTATCTTGAACTGCTCAGGAGCGTGTATGTTAGCAATTACTGTCTTGGCCTCTTTAGCACTGTTTGGGATTTCTGTCTCCTTTGTCTGTACCCGGAAAGCTCTGAAACGTGGTCTGTCCCTTAAAAACAAGAGAACTAGAGTACTATATTGGTGGTGATCATAATACAATACAAACAGGTATATATAATGAGGTTTGGCATGGGTTTTTCTCCGCAATTGGCTCACAGATGCAGCTAACAGAGTAAATCATTGTATTAAAAGCAGGAAAGGGAACAAACATGTGAAGGAAAGCCATGACAGCTTTTGGGAGGTGGGTGCACAGTACCTTTGAAGACAGCGCTATAATCAATGAAAAATGTACTTCTGAAATGCCATCTTTGCTCTCTTTAAGGGCATGTGCATGGGTTGCAAGACAGTAGCAATCCAGCCTTCTCGTGCTCCTTGGGCAGCGGATGGGACCACAGCTCAGGACCAGGGAAATAGCTCCATTGACTGCTCTGTTGTTTTCCAGGCCCAGCTCTGCAAAAGTACCCAGGCAAGTTTGTCATGCTGAGGACAAAGAAGAGAAGATTAATGTTTGGCAGGAAGGACAGCAGAGAAGGAGAACGGAAGAACAGTCCAGGTATCGAGCTCCCTAAGATGACTCTCATCTGTGAATCAGAAATGGAGGAGATGCTTCCCTCCAGCCCAGCGGGGACCAGGCTGCTCTTCCTCTGCTTCTCGCCACCAGCGGCAGCTCTTCTACCTTGCCACAGGTGCTGGCTGTAGTTGGGTGCTTGCCACAGCCCAGGCACCCCAGAAAGGTGCTGCTGGGCATCCCTGTCATGATTTTTATTGTACTAAAGTCCGTGCATTGAAAGCTTGAAGGCTGCAACACCTAAGTACTCTGCTGATTTGATCCTTCTGCTTGACAGCTAGACCACTGTAAATGATTAGCTGAAGAAAATAGTAGCGCTACCATCACCAAGTGCTTATTTAGTTTCATGTTTATTTCATGTCCTCTTTTATGGCATTTTCTCGTGTTTCTCTTCTGCATTTTGTATCACCTCTCCTGTCATGTCTTTACAGGCTTTCTCTGATGTGTGCTTCTCAGAAACCACCTTTGCCTTCCTTATTATTCCAACCCTTACTCTGTGCCCTTGATCCACAAGAACTTCCTACTTTCTCCTCTTGCAGGCTCTTTTCTTCTATTTTTCCCTTTCATTCTTACCTCTTCTTTTTCACTTCATTCCATTCCTTTCTAAATCTTATCTCTGCCCACTGCTTCCAGCTTCTCCTCTTCCTTCTTCTCCCACATTACTTTAAAAAAAAAATGCATAAATCTCTTCCCTTCTCTTCTGAAATAAACTCATTAATAAGACAGTCCTATTCATTGTGCTACCTTACTGTAGTTGCTGCTGGGTCACCTGTCCCTTCCTCATAAAAGGTTTGAACAGGACTGATCCCCGCTCGTTAGACTCAACTCTTTCATTGTGCCTCAGCCACTCCTCAGCACAGCTCACACTTGCTGCAACAAGCACAGGGGTCGGGGACTGCCTTTTTGTTTGCTCAGTGCACCCACGTGGTTTGCATAGGAAGGTTCTGGTCCCTGACAAAGGTTGGTAGGCATGAATAAATAATACATGTAGCATAGTAACTGGTATTAATAATGATTCTGCTTCCTGGTAAAACCCCTGCCTTCACCTTGTCTTCTCAGTCTGGCAACTCCTCCGCTGCTCGCCCATGCCAGCGCGTCCCCTCCAAGAACAGAAATACTCATAGTGAGAAGGGTCAATCACCACTGAAGGGACATTTGGAAGATGGAAGAAATTTCCACAACTAACATTAAATTCCCCAAAGCAAGACCGCGTTTAACAAAGCGGTGTTCTTTTCACTTATCTTACCGTGGGACAGAGGAACGGGCAGAGCAGCGCAAGGCAGAGGCATTTCACAGGCATCCCATCGCATCCGTAGGCTTCTGAGGTCAGACCCTGCCCATGGGCAAGCAGGTTGGGCTTTCCCTGCTGGAAGCACAGGCCAGGCACGTGCACTCAGGGGAAGACTCTGACTCACTACATTTTACTGCGTCGCTGAGTTTACAAGCACTGAGTAATGACACTTAGCGAACAATGAGGCTGTTATGTACGGCCACAAAATAAAAGAAGTTTACGCATCTACATGATAAAAAAAGTTCCAAAGAATTTAATGTAGATATTATTTATACATACACTTTATAAGTAGGAATATGGCAGACAGTTGAATTAGTACATAAAGTTTTATTTAAAGTTTCCCCCCTACAAGCAAGCTTCATTTACACAGTCTAGTACTGTACAAAATTTACATTCTTTGTGTGACTTATTCAGTTAGCACTTTCCTTGGTCATGCCTTCCTGAAAGATAGAAAGATTTACATACAGTCCTCATAAATCTTTAAATTATCTTGGTAAAAAAAAGAACCACTTAAAAGGACAACAAATATCCTTTAAAAATGGTACATTTTAGTAGAGACAGGTGACAGTCAGTGTTTAATGGCAGACCTTATCCTGATCTTAAATGTCATTCAAGGTTTCCTCATTTAGTATCTTAACAGTTTCCTTTTTATATATATTTATATTTATAGACTTTCAACAGGAAAGGAAAAAAAAAGTCATGATTGCACCAAATATATTGTACAAGGGATCCCTTGGATCTGAACAATATAAATAAATACAAAACCAACTAAGATTGCACTATATAGTAGAAATGGATTGAGATTTCAGGATATACACTCCACCTTTATGAGTTCCTTAGTGATGCTCACTGGAAAACTCCCCAACGGCACATTCAAATATTAGCATCTTCAGATAATTATTTTGTTTAAACAATTTTTTTCCAGGCGTGCAGCTACCTCATCAATTGGGTTATTGCATTTGTATGGTATCAGCCTTTACTGCATTACTCCAATTTTACAACTATGTAATTCTGCTGCAAGGAAGGGAGTTGCACTGCAATAAAACTGGACTGATGCCAGAACGAAACAGTCCCATGGTATTTGCTCTCCATTATTTATATTGCTCTCAAGCATCAATATATAGTGTAATTTCTGTGTACATTCGCCCTCTTTCTATTTTGCAAAGCAAATAATGAATTCTTTCTCCCATCTATTGCCTCTGAGGCAGAAACCAACCTCCAGTAGTTGCCTGCTCCTTGCTTAATGCAGTAGCATTAAGTCCTATTGTGAAAGATGTGCAGGCTTGAAAATGCACGATCTGGGTCTCCTTTACCTTTTATCTGGTGCAGCTAGTTACAACTAGGCAAATTAAAGGCCAGATTCTTAGCTGACATAAAACAAAGTACATCCATTGGCTTCAATGGAGCAATGTCAGTTTATACCAGCGAAGAGGACGGTCCTGAGGGTAATGGATGCAGCATCAGTAAACCACAATGGAAGAATTATGCATATACTTTACTGATGTGTAGATGACTATGTTAACTGCAAGGTAGTGAAGAATCAGGCTCAGATTTTGTCACTGCTTTTGCAAAGCCAGGACAGAAAGACGTAAGCTTAAAACACAGCCAGCCTGATTTGTGCAAGCAACTATGAATTCATGAAGCGAGTCCTAAATGCTCCTGGTCCCATGTGGTAACATTCCGAATTCGCTTTGCAATGAGTAGTTACACAAGCTATAAGGCAGTGGAAAGTCTAGCCTCGTATTACTTTAGATCAACAGTAAAAATCTTTCAGAGTACATTTTAAGATCGACCACACAGGAGTATTTTAACTACTTACCAATGTCTCTCCAAAATTGTGCACAATCATTTAAGAGTCCAAAGTAATACATTTATAGTTAAATGCAGTCTTTCTGTCTCTGGAGGCAACTAGCATGGATGCTCCTATCTAACAGGTTAGTGAAAAGTAAGTAAGGGTTCTGGTGCTTCGTTAAGCGGTCATAGAAATAACTTACTTTACGAACCCAGAATTTAAGGTGTAGGACCAAATTTCTGTTATAATAATGTAAAAACAGTCATTCCATGTGATTTCAGTGAAATGACTCTGACTTTACACAAGTGTGATTAGAAGAATTTGATCCTAATCCCTAAGCTGCTATTCCAAGAAGTGCTCTGTAAAGCATGGCTTTCATTGTAGTCTGCTTTCCGCTGCACTTACACACGGGGACTTTGAAGGCAGAGTGTTATTAGTTGCCAAACTGTGCAAAAACTGAATGATATTTCTTTACCTTTTATAATCTTCTGATGCTGTGTTGCTTGCAGAGCATGTGAAGTAGCTGTAGGTTAGGATTACAGAGGAGGAGACAATTCTGCAATGCAGTGTGAGCTTTTCACTATCTGAATTCTGAAGCATTCATGAAAACAACATCCTCATGACTTCAACACAGATCACATGCAGGTAGATACAATGCACAATACTGATCTTGTCTCTTCAGGCTGTATTTGAACAGTTAGCCTTCATTTTTTTTAAAGTTAAATTTGATGTGAGGAATATCTCTGCAGCAGGAAAAAGTTAAAATCAGTCTGAAATGGCAGTCTGTCAGTATGTAATGTTCGGTGTGTTTTAGCTACTTGCTTCATAAGACACCGGCATCTATCTGAGATGGGACAACACTTGATTTTTGTTTTCTTTCAGTTTGCTCCTAAAGCATAAATACGGAATAAGGGGTCAATTATGGTAGCTTTGTTTTAACAGGAATCCTGTTCTAATAAAATATTTACGTCACCCGTCATTATTGTCCCAAATGCAATCAGTGTTCGTGTCAGTGCTCCTTGACCATCATTTGTTGTACGGTACGCAGGCTGGCAATATGACAGTTGAACAAGCAGGTCCTGCAAGTGGCTCAGCAACATCTCCTTCTAGTTCTGTCCAAGTCCCCTTCTCAGGACTATAGCAAATAGTAGAAGATTTGTAGGCTCCCTGTAGTAGCACAAAAAGACATATTAAACATGGCTTTGGTAAAACCCAAGTCAAACATTAGCTTTAAAGATGTCTGAAAGTGACTCATGGTTTTGAGCTCTAATTTAGGAGCCCTTCAAGAGGTTTGGTTTTCATATGGGCTGAGCACCTAACCTCTGCAAATTAGGCTCCTTTACAAGTGCTTTATAAGCAGAGCTATAAGCATATCGTCCCATCAGTCTTTTTTGCCAAATTTCATCTGTTTTTTATATTACACCGTATCAGTGAATATGGTCTGATAAGAACTCATCTAAATAGAAAAGCACAAAGGTGAAAAAATACTCCACATTCTCCGTAAGTTGAAAACCAAAGCAAAACCTGCCCCTGCACCTACTTCAACCCTCATCTCCTCTCTGCCCCATCTGAGTAATATAGACTGGCTGTGAGAACTCAGAAGGAATGGAAGGGTCATTGCAGAAAGCAGGTACACACCATACTCCAGCTGTAGCCTCCGACAAGGTAAATACTGTCATCAAGGACTGCGCAGCCAGGGCCACTGCGACCCTCCAAAATAGGAGTCTGGAGGATATTCCACTGGTCACCTTTTGGATCATAGCATTCCACAAGCATTACATCAAGATGGGAGAAACCTGGATAAGGGCATTGAGAAAAGAGAATGTGCATTATGACTTACTGTTTTATTATTTGTTTTACTGTTAAATTTACTAAATTACAGCTACAATTACATTCTTACAATTACACCATCATTGTTACACTTTCTTCTAGAAAATACTGCCATATACATTCAAGCCATCTTCTGTAACGTTAACGTCTCATTATTTCAGTTCAAATAAATCTGTTGAAAGCTTTTATCATTACTTCTACAGTTTTCTACAAATCACAAGTACATATAAAACCTGAACACATCAGAAGGTAATACTCAGTAATAACCTATCGATGATGCAAGCAGATTCAAGCAATATTCCTCCTCATCTATCAGTGCTAATGCGAGTTTGAACATGTAGGAAAAGACTGTCCCGGCAGCCTTTCTCAAAAGTCAGCAGATCTGATCTATTAAAAAATCAACAGATTAAGTCTTGCTCAGAAACCAATGTCTAGTGAGCCAAGGTAGAGCTTAGACAACTCATGCTACTTGGTTCCAGAGGGACAAAGGTGCTTAGCACGACAGATGTGATGTTCAGGACCAGTTTCAATTTTAAAGCTGATTTAAGGTGTACCCTAAGCACGCAGCTGTGATGTGACAAAGTCTTTAAGGTGTCAGAAAACGTAACCAAAAAAAACGGTGGTCCCATCTTTCCGTGACAGACCAAAAAAGGCTCCATGCGACTGCTGCTTTCTAATCGCCAAAGGGCAGACGGGTGTCAGCTCAAGACTCCCAAGCTGTATCAATTAGTATCAATCAAGTGAGCTGAACACAGACATAGAACCCATGAGTCCTGGTTCCTGCTCCAATATTTAGGCAATTTTCTATCTCAAACTACCTTCTTTATCAGAGCACCGCAGTAAAATTATGGCTTTCTTAATATGCTGGGATGCTTTACTTGACACTACTCTCTTCTCCATCAAGGTATGACAGAAAACAGGAGTTAGATTTTTCTGGAAAAGCACATTTGGTGATATTGGTACTTCACAATGATGCTACTTGAAAGAGTATTATTTATGTCAGGAATGAATTGCTATGATGAAATAATTTTTTGTTGCTGTAAAGTTTTCAAGGGGCCACAGAAAGGCCACCGCAGCGTGCCCAGAATCTGTCAAAAGCTCTGTAATGAACTGCGGTACGCACATGACTAGCTGTGATGTGGTAAATGCACTGCTAACACTAGTATACAGATCCAGCTTCACAAAGGAGGGCTTTGCCATGCAACCCTGCTATTCCCCCCCGGTGGAGAATTTGTAGCATTTCATCCGCACTTCAGTCCCCTCCCTCCTCCCTTTCCTTGCAGCTCCTCCTTTTGTTTCACTGTACGGAAGAAACCAGTTTTCCAAAAAGCCTTTCTATCAGACAGCCGTGGCTTTCCAGAAGCCTGGATGTTAAATACCTCTCACAACAGTGAGCAATTCATACGTAACAAAAGCACCTAGGGCAACAGTTGTAGAGGCAAAAATGCAATGTTTATTAGAAGTTCCTTCTTTCCCAGAGGATGGTAGGTGAAAAAGGGGGAAAAAAAAGCAGAAGGCAGGACAGAAGCAATTCAAGGCTATGCAAACCAAAGCATGTGCTTTAGCTATAGGAGAGCTGTGACATGTTAACCTTTACTTTTGTAGGAGAAAAAGCCAACACTGTGGAGCTCTGCAACCTCTACAAAATTTGCAGGTGCACGTGTGCAGGCAGCTTTTACCCCCTTCACCCTGTCAGGTCCAGTCCAGGAACACCCATCACAACTGGGGGTGGGAAGCAGAGGCACAACAGCCCTGCACCTGGCTGCAGGGGTTTATGCACCAGTACTATTTACCAGGAAAAATTTACATCTGAGACTTTGTCCGCTACATGCTCCACACTCAGATCTTCAAAGGCAGCATGTGGCTTCAGTCTCACTGGGACTCGGGTGCCAGAGTCACTGAGGCACATGGCCTGGTGTTACCGGCAGTTAACATCACTTTCTCTTTCGCATTACAAACTTCCCTTTTGTTGTTGTGAAGCTTTTTTTTTTTAAAGCAAGAAATGAGAAAGAAGAAAAAAATGTTAATATGAACTGTCAAATATTGTCATGGGACAAAGAAGCAGGAGCTGTGCTTTTTGTATAAGTGGCTGGATTAAGCAGAATCTCTTTAGCAGTAATAGCAATGACATGTAGGTATTAAGACAAAAATACCAGATGCCTAAGCAGTAGTTATTTTAATATGAGACCTTTTCAAAAGATGAAAACAAGAGACCTCTAAAAAGAATTATAATTAACAAGCTACATTTAATTCTAAAAAGGGATCTAAAGAGCCTAGTCCTAATATTTAATGGCTGGAGGTTTTTTTTCCTCTTAATTAAATCAGAAGCTTGTTTTTGTGTGTTGCTCTGAATAAAGCTCTCTCTAACTGCACATTTTGGAAAATGATTTACAGAGGAAGATATTGCTGATACTTTCGGGTCAAAGAATAATCTGTTTGTTTCATTGAATTCTTGGTAATGACAAATTGTCCATGCCTTTGAGTAATGGAAGCTCCCATTTTTATTATCTAAAGCATTCATTACTCATATATTTAATGTACTGTTATAATTTTAAAATAATTTGCATAAAATGTTTTTAAAATTGCTGGCTCAAGTGTCCTGTTAAATTGTGTTGCCTGTTTTTTCATGTATTTAACAATGACTGTCTAACAAAAATATTCTTTATCAGGAGATGGGGGACACTGAAATGCTTTTTCGCTGTTAAAAATGTGACCTTTCAAATGGTTTCCTCCAATTGCATACAGTCGATCATTCATTACAGCCAAAGTGTGGATTGCTCGCTTTGTGTTCATGTCCTGTTTTCGGGCCCAGACATCCATCACGGGGTCATAGCAGTACAGCCAGGGGACATATTCTCCATTGTGAACACCTCCTGCAAAGTAAATGTACTTCTGTTAATTAATGTAAATAAAGACATTGTGCTGCAGCAGGAATTTAGCTCTATGTTTTTGGGTTCTGGGTTTTTATTTTTTGGTGGTCATTTTAGGTTGTTTTTTTGTTATATATTGTTGAACTATAAAAGACACTGGCCTGAAATATATATCTTGCCATTGTGAACGGCTCCTGCATGGGCTGCCAAAGGTTGCGGTAACGAAGACACGTAACGCCACTCGTTTGTCTCTAGATTGTAGCACTCCACGCTGGACAAGTAGCCAGTTTCGTTTCTTCCACCGATTACATACAAATTCTTGTCAAGGCGACAGGCATAGAAACTGGCTCTCCTGGAGGACAGGGCAGAACAAAACAAAACAAGCCAACAACAAACCAATTAGCCACGTCAACCCTTTTTTTTCCTCTCCAGCTGACGCCCCGAACTAAGATAGCTGCTCCTTCAAATGCTACTTCAGAGAGAAGAGCTTCACAGGCCTACAGCTATCCTAGAGACTGTGGCTGCTTGGCTAATCAAATACATGCTCCACATCAAAGAAATACTTCATTTTTGGTGTCAAAACAATTAAGCACACATAAACCTGGCAGAAAATACCCCTTTTCAAAGCTGTTTGTTGCTTTTTCACACCCGTGAAAGATAAAAAGGTGCTCATTAATGTTTGGGGCATTACCTTGTAAGGGATATAACAACTCAGTAAGACAAAGTGAAAAATGAGGTAGGTAATGTAACAATAATGAATTATCTTGACATTCACTTTCTTTATGGTCCTTCAAGGGTCATTGTTCCCAATTTACTAAGAGAACCACATCATCAAAATTTTTGTTCAATTATCCTTTTTTTTTTCTTCTTTCTGCAGTACTGCAAATAGAACAACTTTCCTTACACTAGGTACAATATTACATTTCCACCCTTTAACTCAGAAGAGGTCTGTCTCCAACAAACTGAGAAAAGTTTTAGCCACCTGTCCGCTTTCACATGCAACTCAGGTAAGCAAGAAAAGAATTAATTTTTCTGGCCAGTACTGCTAGGTATATATTAGTTCATCTTTCTTGTGCCTCCAAAATTAACGGTGAGTGCCTGTTGCTGAAGTAAAAATAGAGCAGTAGACAGGTTTGAGAGACCCAGTTTGGTGTAATCCACTTTCAGGGAAAGCTCCCTGGCTTATTCAGCAGCGGGAAGGTTTGCTAGGGCAGAGGCCTTTAATTTTAAGCTGCAATGATATGAGAAAGAAAATTGCAAAAGACCACAGCTAGGCTAGGATGAAGACCTTTACAAAATATTGAATGACAAGAATTGTCAGTGCCAAAGCTAAAATTTTCTCCTGGGTGAAACTGGAGTGGCGTGGGAGCCCACAGACAAGCAGGCAGGTCAGGCACGGCAAGGTCCAGCCCTGACAGCTCCTGCAAAGCAGGCACGCTGGAGTGTGTCTGCAGCTCGCCAAACCCTGCTCCGCGGCTGACACAATCCGCTCCGGTTCCTGCCCAGGCACCCGAATTTGAATCTGGGAGTGGCTGTATATTGCACTCCTGAATCGCACGGTGAATCTTGGGGGCTTGATGGTCACCCGCGCCATCAAGGGCTCGATCCTGCAGACAGCTGCAAAGCATTCGGGATGAGTGGTGGTCCACATACAGAGCACACCACCTTGCAATGAACAGCTCTGGTATGTCCCAACTCCTCCCCGAGTTTCCCTGTAGTCATGCCACGACCAGGTGAGTTAGCAAAGCCTGGTGTGCCATGTCTCTAACCTGCCATCTGGCCAGGCATGTGTTCCGGAGCATTTCCTTCAGTGAAGGCAGGAATAAGATCTCTCTCCTTTACACAGCTGTCTATTTTCACAAAATCTGTAGTATGCTTTAACATTTTGGAGAAATTTCCCTCTTTGTTAAATGTGGCTGAGACTGGCTGGTGGTTTACAAGTTGGAGGAGAGGTCAGGCAGACACGAAGATACAGCCATGGAAACAGCAAGTCTGGCTGGGCATTCAGGGAGCAGATCTGATGCGGTGCTGCCTGTTTCTGGCCTCAGTTTTTGGATTTGGTGCACACCTGACAGGCCTCCTCACCAGCCAGGGTCACTGAGCACCTCCCGTCTACCTCTTTGCTTTCACCTTGCCTGCACATGGGCAACTTGGACAGCGCGGGCCCGCACCCCTTGTTGAGTGGGAGTGGGACCACCACCACAGGGATAAGGCTACTGAAAAAAAAGATGTGAACAGGAGGACAGGAATACTGCTAAATGCCTCCAGCTCAGCTGATGAATTAAATAAGACCATTTAATTTATCTGTCAATGGGCAGATAGAAGCTGATGGCATATATTGCTCTGCATGGTCGGGCAGCAAATTGTGCATCTATGTTTTTACCCTGATTTTCTATGGAAACAAAGCTTATTTGATTACCCTGTACGTGTACCCATGTCTGCTTGAGTGTTGTCTCCTCAACAAAAACCTGCTGGCTGATTTCACTCTAATTTGACAGAGAGGGTATAGGCGTTACAGGCAATCAAGTGCCTATACGCTTCCTGAGAATATGTGACAGGCCAGAGGCAAGACAGCCGGTAGCAGCCCCAACAATAGGAAAAGCTGCAGAGGTCACATCATATTAGACATCAGAGAGCCTGCATGGGCAGGCACTCTTTCTCCAACCCTCCTGTGTCTGGCAGCCGCAAGGCACAAGCCCACAGGGTGCCTGTCGTCAATGCCTGGGGTGCTCACGCATCCGCTCGTCTGTCCTCTCACACCTCCTCTGACAAACCTGTTAACGAACTGCTCTCAACGTGGTTTTTTTAGTTCAGGTTTAATACACAGAGGTAGGTACAACTGGCAGGCATTCTCTTAACTAGGATTTCACTGACATTATCCTGCATGTGTACTCCTGGTTTCATCCACACAGTGTCACTATAAGGAGCAAAAATAAAAGCGTCAGCATGCTTCACTCTTCTGCTTGGACGTGAATATTCACTCAGTAGCTCCTGTCACAAACATTTTAAGCTTTCTGGTTTTTTACTTTTCAATGATACAGTGTGTAAGGGGCATGCTGTTAAGTGACGGCTTTTTAAACTGCTGTAAAATATGATTCAGATTAAAATATAATACAGCAATCTTTGCACAACTTTTCCTGCAAAACCAGGAAGACGCTATCCATTCTAATCAGATAACTGGAATGCACCTCAGGATCTGTATATGGGCAATAAGACAATTATTTTGTTGTTTTCTTCAGGACTTGCAAGTACTCGACAGTCACTGGTCTCTGAAATGCTTTTCCTTCACATCCCTTCACTCAATAATCAACCCAACTAACTTCTTCTCATAAGTAAGTACACACACATAAAAGGGAAGAATTTCTTTCCAGTTTCCATAGATGATGAATTTATGCCCTGAAACAAGAAATGCAACAACCAGCCTGAGGTTTAAAACCACTAATGCTCTTACTGATCATTGCAATATCTGGACCCGATTTCAGAGTCACTTTTAGACTGTATGGTTTGCCTTTTAAAAACTACAGTCATCTTAACAAGGGTTAACAGCACTATTATTAAAGTCAAAGGCTAAAATAAAATGTGAAATTGTTTTATCTCTTTTTCTGCGTCTTCTTTTATCAGTTCGCTCAGCCTCAGTGAGGACGCTGACCTTCACACTTCCACTTGTGCTTCTTCAGGCCTTGGTACAATGCCATGGCTTTTGCTGGTCTTTAAACAAAAACTTTTTACTTGGAATGTAAGAAAAAAGATGTTTTAAATGTTACTGTCCCACACACCTTGTCCAGCTCTGGGCTGAGCTGGCAAGATGCAACAGTACTGACTGAGGTGTCCAGCTGAGGCTCATGCCACAAGTTCAGATATGTCTGCTACAAAGACCACTCCTTTAGCAGGCCTGTTAGTCTAACTGAACCGCTCTCCAAAAAGCATCCCGTTGTTATTGCATTGTCAGGCAGATGTGTATTTCAAAGGCTTATGAGTCATTTGCTGCTTCTCTAAACAACACATGCCTGAAAATAGTACATACTTTTCAATAGCATGTATTTTTGAGATGTTCAAAATGAAAAGAAACCAAACTTGGCTTTAAAGAAAATAAACTGACGGCTCTGAATCCATAACGGGATTAGGCTTTTCTCTATAGCTCATACAGTAAAATCAATCAGATATAGATTTTAGCATATGAGATAAAAGTTTACTCATCAAATATTTCAGATAGATTTTCAACTTGAGAACATACTGCCTGTGAATGAGACCCACATTTACCTGGCAGTCATTCCAACGGAGCTATTATAGTCTATCCAGCCAATTATTCTCAGACTAAAATTCCTAAGTAGGTTTTGACTTGATGGACCATAATGACTCAGAAAAACCCATTAAACAGTCTGTCTTGTCAATGGTGCCTGCATTATGCCAGCAGAGACAGGGCGTGACCCTGTACTCCTAGGGGGGAAAAAATAGCCTGTTGACTTTAATGGGAACTTTATCTGAGTAAAGAAGCTGGGAAAGGAAACTGCATAAAAGGTCTCTCTTGTTTGTATGATCTTCTAAAAACTGGGCCAGACCCTACCTCTAAAGGCTGCAACAACTCTGAGGAAGTCATTAGGGATGAGCAAATAAACCGTTAAAAACATTTTAGAAAGTGATTTGAAAATCCCTGTTTTCCAACAATAGCCCCAATGCTTAGGAGCCTTTAAAGAAAAATAATGGGCAAGCCTATGAGTTATGTCTCCTGAATGGAAGAGGTGACAATTAATGTTGTCATAGTAAAGCCCCTTGCAGAAGGAACTATGTGTGAGTGGACCATTACATTTAAATAACACTGTAAGGAGCTGAGATGCTAATACATTACAGTTTATTACCGGGCAGCTGCTAAACAATCACAATGCGCAGCAGAGTTTCTGACTCTTGGCTGAAGGCGGCAGCTTCCACCAGAGCACAAGGTAAGTCATATTCTGCACCTGTGATTATAAACTGAATTTCTAGTGAAACGCAACTGACCACTGTGGAGGTGGAAAAACTCCTACTGTCTGCTTTCTCTGACCCTCAACTACCTACTTCTGCCTTCTGAGTTTTGTCAGCCAAATAAACGCAACCGTTCAGCCAGCCGCACATGCCCCTCAGGAGTTTTGCTTGCAGATACGCAGAGGGACTAATTAGGACACAGATTAGGCTCCACAGAAGAGCGTCAGGTTCCGTACAAACACCAGTCAGCCTCCCGGTTCACTGAGGATGACCTGCATGGCGGTGCGCAACCTCATGCACACCTCTTGTCTACTCCACGCCAACACCTGAGCTGGCGGTGACTCCGTCCGGGGAGCTGAACCAGAGGGGAAGGCGTCCCTCTGTTTTAAGGTAAATAACCCAGCTGTGAGTTTATCCCACAGGGCTGGCAGGACTGAGGGAGAAGGCTGGGGGCTGCCAAAGCAGGGCTACCTCTTTAGCTAAAGCCTGCTGTTGGACTAGCTCTATTAACAACTACGAAAAAGGAATTTTAGTAAAGGAGTTTTAAAGTAAAGGACGATGTTATTAATAAACCCAGAGACTACAATGAACCGTGATGCTCTTTTTTGTCTCTATTTATACGGCTAGATTTATCAGCACACTCAGCTCCAACAGGGAACCTACTCAGATCTGTTCCACTTGTGCTTTTTCATGTACTGGTACAATGCAGTGTTTTTTGGTGACAAGCATCGCACATGGGTCTGCATATGGACTTAGGTCAATCAAACTGAATCCTGAACAAAGGCCCTTCAAAAACTCTACAGACTGACATTTTATCTCTGGAAATTGGAAAAGACAGCCATATTTCCATGCATCTCGTAATACACACTTGGAATTGCAAGGTTGCACCGAGGTCAATATGTATTATTTATGACTGCCAGACACCTGAACACTGTGGAGAGCCAACAGAAAAAGAGCTATAATACTGACGACCCATGAAATAAGGAAAGTATCTTAGGAAGACACTGTGAGATCTCTCGCACATTGGATCCATGAGAAGATGGGTATTGAAATGAAGGATGGACATTGAATGCTTTTTCATAAAACATTGTAACTTTGGATCTTCTGCCTTTGAGATTCTTCTTAGGAAACGTGCATCATTCAGTTCAGGTTTGGGGGACTTTTTTTCGTGCCAGGGTAGGACTTGTGATCTAGAGTTAAGTTTATGCTGTCTTTATGGGTCACTGCTCAAGTCAACATGCACCTCTGCTCTTTGGTACACGTAAGATCAAAACATGTGCTACTCTAATATGCATTAGCTGACAGAAACTTCACTCAAAGACCACCTAGGATTAAGAGTCCTCTGACAAGGGAAGACATGTTCAGGAGAGCTTTTCATGCCTGGCATGGTGAAACAGGATGGAGTCAACATGTGAAGGTTTCAGTTCCCTATAAGATATCTGACTATAATTACTGCTTGTTTACTGCAAACTCATCATGACACTTCAGTCAGGGAACATGACAGGACACTATGGAGACTTCAGAAAAATCCTTCAGACCTTACTCAGGCAACCAGTAATTGCACAAAGTCCATGGTTATTTTGCATGAGTTAGCACTGCAGGATTTGGCATGTGGAGTTTTGAATTTGGAAAGTTTAAAAAAATTAGGAGACAAATGGGACGTAACTGCATGCTGCAGTTTTATCTCAGTATTTTCAACGGTTCTGTAGGCCTCCTTACTCCCAGAACTAAGCCAAACTTCAGCTGCTCCTAGGATGATAAAACATATATTGAAAAACATGTAGCAGGTTTTTACCTCTCTTGCATGGGTGGAAGTTGTATCCAGCTGTTAAACCTGGGATCGTATCGGCTAACAAAGTTTGTACTGTGTTTCCCTGTAAAGATAGATTATTTTGACACTCAGCTGTTTGTTTCATGTATTTAACATCATGATTGTAATATATGTTACATATATTTCACAAGTTGACAGCTTTTATGAAGGGTTCCCCCTTTTACAACAATGTATGATTACGCTATGTGTACAGTAATAATTCAACAAATGGGGCACTGCAAGGTTTGAATTAGCAATTGCTAGCAGTAAAAGCAGATAGAGATTATTCTTGCTCTCTGTAATAAGAGCTTGAAAATGTGTATTTAAATTTACTTATAGATGCTGTGGTACTTTCACAGCCACAATAAATCACAGCACTAAAGAAAATTACTGCCCAAAAGAGGGCATCCCTATGGTATTTTTATGACTAGAGTATTTTGTGTCAGGTAAAAAAATCAGAGAGAGAACATGTGCTTTTCTTTCTCCTCACATCATCTCTATGTGGAACATGGTAAAAAAACCTTGTGCAAATAACCAGGAGCTGCATAAGCCATCAGCATGGGGTATGCAGTGTTTGCACTAGATGGTTTATTCTACCATGCACTTTCAGTGTAAGTTAGAAGGAATTACACATGTGCATCGAAGGGGGAATACACTCTTAGACTTTTATTTCAAGTGTGTTAGCTAAAATATGAAACATGAGCAACAGACACCAGCTAACTAGCTTATCCCTGCTGTCAAGCCCAAGAACTGTATTCATGTCTTCACGATATTAAGATTTCACCTTATTTTACATGCAGATTGACATCAAAGCAAGAAAACTGAAGCAAGAGAGTGTATGGCAATTTCCTGTAACACCTGAGACTTCAACAGATGAGGATCTCGGAAACAGAAACCTTTGTTTACGTATGTGTGACTAAAAAATTGAATTAGAGGCTTCACAGGCCAGCAGAATAACCCAACTGCGTATGTCACAGTTCTATAAATGGTCGCTGGGTATTCTACAAGGTGAATATTTTTGCATCGGACAAGCCTCTGTAGGATTGGCTTGCTTTGCTTGTTTCATTCCACACTTACTTCAGCATGTGTAAATAGACCATCAAGATTGTAGAGAAGAATAACGATACAGCTAGAATTTATATTCGTAATAATTTAAGATCATGTTCTACAAGAAAACAGAGAAAGAAACCATGCTGACCACTCCGTCTGGAAGCAAATTCATTCCCTCGCTATGTCATAAGCATGTTCTATGTGAGGAGGGTAAAGCAGAAGACTGATGAATAATGCAGCATTTCCCTTCAAATCCAGTGTGGTGCCTAATGAGGACCAAAGCCCTTTATGCTGAGCACCGCTCAAACACATCTCAAGACACAGGGTGAGATCCCCATTACACTAGGGGCAACTGGTCATTTTGCCACTGTGTTTAGCGAAGTGAGGCTTTGCTCTTGGTCCCTCTCTGAATTCCTTTAAGTCTACAGACAATTTAGAAAAAGAGGCATTGAGAGCTATAGATTCAATAAACAGTAAAACAATAACAGCAGGCATCTAACTGGCTCTAGGTCTCACTATTTAGGACACTTATTAATCTATTTCTATTTCAAAAAGCAGGATTTCAAAACAATGTAAGTATTGATCATAAGCTTGGACTTCTAGTAGGGGGTTTTAATGCTGCTGTATTCACTACATCTTTCAGAGCTACTGGGGACTTCAGTGGTCACTGGTTATATAGCAGCTTTTAAATTGTTGTCATACAAACCTATGATCTGGGGACCTTGGCCTCCTAACATGACAGGTGTCATACACATATTCCCTACAAATACCATGTATGTACAAGATCGTATAGTGCAGGGTAGAAAGAGAAGGGTTTAGTGAGCCTAGAGTGGCAATACAGGATACAAATCTGGTCACTTCAGAGGAAAGGAGATGAAATCAAACTAGAACAGGCACAAAGAAGAGCTACTACGGTGACAGGACGAACAGAAAGTTTACCTTATGGCAGGAGACAAGAAACTTGGCTTGTGCACCTAGGAAAACAAAAGCTGAAAGGGGATAGGAGTGCTGTTTCTAATACATCAGAGGAACAAATCTCCAGGAGGGGAAAAACCATTAAGATAAAGGCCAACTTTGGCATGAGAACAAGGCGATTTAGACGGTCAAAGAATACATTTTACTGGAAATTACAATAAGGCTCCCAGTCATTTAGAGCAATTGGATTCTGTAAGTACTTTCCAACAGTAGTGGGGGCTAAAAATCCAACTGCTTTTCAAATGTAGCTTAGAAAATTTACAAAATGGGACTATATGATGCCTGTGATGGCGGGAAAAGGACTTGATGACCTACTTAAGCTGCCTGGTGTAACTGGTTTGACTCCAGTTTAATTTTGGACTTCAGTTTGAATCTATTATTTTGCCTTGCTCATCGGTCAGGAGGTTACACATGTTAGGAAGCACCTGTCAGAACATAGAGACTGTGACAAGTGATCAGAAATCAGGATTAGCAAATCAAGACAGTGGAAAAAAGGAGGCAGATGCTGCTCTCTGCCTTCTACAAGAAAGTCTCTGCAGCCATGCCAAAAGGTGAAGGGCTCTGAAAGCCATGAAGGTCGGTCTTAAATCCATGCCTGTGTTCTGCAACCTGCTCTCATCAGCGTTTACTTGTGCGGGGATCCCTTGCGACTGGAAAGGCATAGCCATAGGAGGATGTGAAAAAGTGAGAAAAAATGTCTCCCATGCTCTCTAGGTTGTCAGGAAATCACAGGAGCAGCATGGAGTGGGCATGGGCACTCCTTGGGTCCACCCAGCTTGTCAACAATCTGTCAGTCTGATGGCTAAAGAAATATATGGTGCTCCTTCCATTGTCCCCATCTCAAGGATAATTCTTTCCACTGGAAAAACACCTGGCACAGTCTCATTCAAATCAAAAGCCTTGTAATGGTCTGGCAAGACAGTTCCAGCCAGGTCCATCTGAGGGCCCTTCCGTGCTATGAGGATAGCAGACAAGGGCCTTTACATAAATTCAAGCGGGTACATGTGAGCAGTTCCCATGTAGCTGCACATTTAGAGCAAAGCAGTTCCAAGAAAGAACTAGCCCAGCAACAGCACAGGATGTAGGTTATGGTTTCAGGTCCACTTTTTGTGACGAGACCCATTTCTCTCAGGGTAAATTTGTAAAGAGATCAGTATTAGCAATGCTCCTACCTCTTTTATTCCTATCTTCTCTACAGAAAAATCACAGCATTGGTATTCACAGAACAAGGAAGCTGTTAGATGTCTTTAGTGATCTTACACCTAAGGTACTATCCATCTCACTAACAGCTGTGCTTGACTCCTACCTCAGATGCAGGGTATGTACGCCTTCTAGCATCTCTCCATCACCTTGCGACTCAGTTTCCACATCTTTAAATTGTGGGTAATTACACTTCTTTTCTTTTATCCTTCATGTGACATGGCCATTTAATTATAAACTGTCTGGAACAAGGTCTGCCTCTTATTATCCATATGCCTACCACCAAGCACAACAGGGGCCCTCAGTTGTTGGATGTGGCTGATGGTCCTAATAATAATTGTCTCCCGTAGTAATAATAATAATAATAATAATAATAATAATACTCTCCTGTTTAATATAAAGGAGATTCAACATTAGGACTAAAGGGGTCTTCTCTAAGACATTTAGTGTTATTTTTAACTACACCGGAAATATGCTTATAGGGTGGACTGGATTGTTTGTCTCAGGTTTTAGGAAGTGAACAGATGTAACAATTTTCTATAATTTGGTTTAGTGCAGATGCTGAAATGGGGCATTCACAATAAAATATATGCAGTATATGTAATTTCAGCTGGATCCTCTGGTGTTTTAAAGTAAAAATGTGTACCTGCAAGCTGTTTTATGGTTTCTCAGTCATAATTATCTCTGTTACACAGACTGCTACAACTACAACTCTTTCTTCGTGTGCAAGCTTTTTAACAATGTCTTGACAATTTAGTGAATTTTGCAAGGCATGGTATTCTCCTTTTGCTTTGCTCAGAAGCCTGTTAAATTGTTTAATTTCTCTTTGCGGTAAATTTATGAAGTAATCAAATCAAAGAAGGTAGCAGCAGATAATCTATATGAGAAGCTCTTGCACAAGACTAAAAAAAGGACCAGTTTAAGAACCTCAGAGTCTAGATAATTAACACATTAACAACTTTAGCTGCGAGTATCTTGTTTGACAATAGAAAAGAAGCATTCATCTACTGCAATTGCATTATTATATTATGACTGGAAGGAGACTGGAAATGAAGGTTAAAATTCTTAACAGCTGCTGCCTGGTGCATGCACTTGAAAGAGTCTGTTCTGCTGCCTGTGGCATTTCTCAAGGGATGGGAGCTGATGAATGACGGAAATGCTAATGCTAAAGTACCAGATATTTATTACATCAATATCTAAAAGTAGCCTTTACTAGATTCAACAATTAGGCTGAGGGTCCTCAAAAGCCCTTGCTAATGACTACATCAGCTGACCTGGCAGACAGACAGACAGAGGAAGGCAGATGCTGCCTGTGCCTTTTGATATTCTATACATACCATTAGGGTTCCATTGGTCTTCTCCTCCCAGCACGAACAAGAAGTTTTCCACTTCCACGACACAGTGATGGGCACTGTTATATGGCATAACTGCAAGAAAAGCAAGAATTCTTTGTCAGCTCAGGGCACTGATTCCATCAAATATTTCCAAAGGTACAAAACACAACACTGAGATTACATCTGTATGAAATAATAGGGGAATGCATCACCCCAAGAATGTATGTCCACTGACTTAGCAGCAGACAAAGCCACTTATTAGTAACCTTACACTATTCAATCTTGCAAATAACGAAGGAAAAAAAGCTAGAATTATGGTCCCTCAGTGCCCCCCCCCCACCTGCCCAAGTGCCATATATGCTGCTCTAAAAACAACTTGTAAAAGGGGGTGAAGTTGCCTGATATTTCCCTGAAAATAAGCAGATGCTAGGAATCCTAGTATGCTAGGAAACATTAAAAAAACCTCAGCCCAGCTTTGTTCTGCTGGTAATGTTTCCACAAGAAGAGTCAGTATGTTCAGTAGCTTTCTATTACACAGCAATGAACAAGCTGCATTTCCATACAGTTTTAAGTTTTTAAATTAAGGTCCTGCTGATTTAATGCCTTTTCCAAATGTATACGCTTAATTTCCTGTACAATGTCATTAGCAGCAGAATCACACATTTTCTATTCATCTAATCAGGAAGCCCTTTGTTAACAAAGATCAAAACTGTGGCATTAGGTTTGCAATATCCCCTTTTTTTGGAGGTATCGCGATTACTGTGGACCAACTACAGTCGCAATAATCTATTTTTTAAAATTTACATTTTCCACTTCAAATTCTAAGACATAAAAATAAGGATTTATATATACACAATATGCACATATTATTGCAGTGTGCCATACAGCACTATTGTGATATTATAAGGTAAATGTAAACTTACATAGCATTAGTTATCATACCACATAGAGTAGTTTTGGCCCAGTGACACCAGTAGGAAAAATGATGTCCTTGTTCAGCTCATCATATGGGCACCTTAAATCTAGGTGAGGACAAATGGGGAGGTGATGTGCATGTACAGGCAGGGAACTTATTGCTTGACACGGATCAACAGAGCACTTAGGAAACCAGTGCAGTGGGAAATCAATATGACTCAGGGCCAGCTCTTACTTTGTGCTCTTTTGCCAATGCCAAAAAAAAAAAAAAAAATAGAGGCAGCCTATCTCACACTTGGATTATTTTGGGTGATATATCTCTCATTTCATTTGTTTTATTATCTTTTATTTTTCTCCAAATGCAGTTGTGCAGTATAGCATATGCAAATAATAATAAGAAATACGCACAGCTTTGTTATTTAGGACACATTTTCTTAAAGATCAAGTGGGCTCATTTAAGCTTCTTACTGAAGTTTTTGCCAAGGCAATGATGAATAAGTAAGGTATGTTTTTAGTTTCTAGTAAAGGTCGAATATCATTTTCATAGTCTGTGCTCTTACAAGTCATGTAAGTGAAGCAGTTCTTAAATTGGGCAGACAGGTACAGTGAAAGTTCATTAATTAAGGTTTTTTGTTACTAGTACACTTTATATAACTGGGAGGTAATCCTATACCAGGTGCTGCATAAGATTTTATACTGACTAGAGATTCCTAGAGTGGGATGAAAGAATGAAAAAGATTTTTGTTATCTCCTTAGCCCCCATATCATATTTATCTCATTCTTTAATCTCAGACATTTTCCTATTTTAAAATTTTGTCTCTCAAAACCGCAGCACTTTCCTTGATTTTGTGGATGCTTGTACTACATAATGAATTTGAGTCTCCCCCAGGAAATTTGCTGTCTTCCTTAGATGCTTTTTAGGACCCCTCCTCTCAATAAGAGATACCCAGGATCAGTCTGCAGGGGCTTCAATTCTTACCTAATCCAATGCTCTATTATGGTTTCCAATTAGGTCCAAGCTAGTGGTTGTACCCTGAACCAGGTTCTTCCATTGGTTGATCTGGAGAGATCTAGCATTTAGTGAAAGAACTGTCTGCAGGCAGCACACATGCATATTTTTCACATGTTGTGTTTTCATTTTTGCAAACACTTTTGTTTATTTATCCTCCATATTGACATAAACAGGGCCAGTAGAGGAAGAAATTATATTTTAAGCTTTTCTGCTGTTCCCATGCATATAAACTACGCAATAAGACTCCCACACTTACGACGATAATTAAACCTTGAAAACTAAGGGCTTAATCCTGGCTCCTACTTAACTTGATGGCAACATTCCCACTGATAGGGGATTGGGCCCAAATGACCCGAACTACCATCCGTAACTCACGGCAAAGCTAAAAGGAAGCTTGTCTTAGAAAGGAGGGTAGTATTTGGGCTTCAGAAGGAAAGGTGACTGCAATAAAACACTGCAGACCTTTACTATGACCTTTGTTTCTCACAGAGCTTTGGGGAAAACTCTGTGCTTGGTCTCATGAATCTGCCCACAGGGCTGGAGGAGTCTGGACAAAACAGGGAGGATGGAGCAACACTGTGGACATCTAAGAAGGAAGGAGTTTGGGCACTGAAATCGTAGAATTGCCAACAGCACAGTCTTTCACCCTGACTCTTTTCAGGATCCCTCAGAATCATCAGTTATACACAGAAATCAAAACTATTGGCATGATCAATTTTTTTTACCGCTATAAAATGCCCCTTGAAAGCACCAGAAAACCTGTGCTGTAAACTATAATTCCTTACGAACGCACACCCATATAGGACCTAACTTTTCATAGATACAGTCAAAATTACATGGCAATGAGCATGCTAAATGCAGCTTCTAGTAGGAACAATCTTTTCAAATTCACTGGGCTTGCCAGGGTGTAACAGGAAAATTTGGCCCATCACTCGGTCTGGCCAGGCTGCTGCTTTCATTAATTTTATATGAGCCTTTGTCTGCTGTTTTGCTTTAATAATGTGAAAATTTCATCTTCTCATTTTTTTATTTCAACTCAGTGGAACACCTGCCTGCCCCACAAAAAGGGTATTTGAAGAGAAGTTTGTACGCCACGCTCAAACACAGCCCGGTGTGAGTTTTTAGCGTGTCAGTCAGTGAGTTAGAGGGAAAGGGTAAGGAGAAGCTAATCAGGATGAAATGAGATTAAAGGCTGTCTAATTTTACAGCAACTGTGATCCATCAGCCACTGTGAAAGTGACAGTGGAAATGAATGATGGAGACAGACAGGTGGGGCTGTACATTTCACTGATTTATCCTCAAATGCACTGGGCCTTATTTTATTGAGTGAACATGACCGCATTTATCATGACTGTCATCTAAACCCACTTCCCTCCATTTAAAAAGGTCACTTTACTAGGAGGGAGTAGGATAGAGGCACTTTCAAAACAGATTTAAAATTTAATAACACATGTTTATAAAACCCTGTGCAAGAATTCTCAACTTTATTAAAGACCAATTTACAAGGAAGGAGAAAAGACTATTAAAAAGAGGAGAAGATGAAAAAAAGCCATGGTCATCTGAGAAACATGTTTAGCTACCAAGGTGATAGGTGCCAGAGAATTACGTGAGACAGACAGATATGAACAGATTAGTCAGGAAGCTGGCAGAAACTGCCTCATCTAAGCCACTGCCCCTCACACACACTTCCCAAAGCTCGGGAGGCCCATGGTTAACAAACTTGTGCTTTCCTGGACCAAGAGCACAAATGAGTCCAAGCAGCCCTACGGAAGACAACACCCCCACCAGCCCCTTCCCATGCAATTTACGTACGACTGGTAGCAGACCCTCAGTAAGGTGGAAGGCAATTTCTCAGGTAGATATGTAACACGCAGAGCTTTCTAGGTTAAAACCAAATGGGTGATTTATACTTGAGAATGATCTGGAAGGCAGTGGAGTCCAAGACGGCAGTGGTGTTTGCTAAGAAATACTTCACTACACAAACATCAGTGATGCTGTACAGGAAGTGACAATCATGGACGTTCTTCAGATGCAGATGCAGGTTGAAGACACAGCAGTACTCTGCACATCAGGATAGCTGTCCCAGGCAAAAACTCCTCAAATATGCCAAACCTTAGTTAATGAAAGGCACCAGATAGTGTTCTGGGACCTACTTTCAAAAACAGAGTCTACAGTTTATAGCCAAATGCTCATGAAACCAAACACTCTCAGCCATAATGCCTATGAGGTCCACCAGATGCAATGATGCTCCAAAGGCACCTCCAACTTCTGCATGGGGGTGACAGTCACACCTCACTCACCTAACAAACAATCATGTATGCTGTTCGTCTTACCCAGTTTTGCTTAGTTTCTGCCAACGATTGCACATTTAGGAAACAGCATCTGGTTGTTCTCCATACATTAATTAAGGGGTCATCAGTTCCTCCTTCTCCTTTCACCTTCCCCTGTCTATCGTCACTTCAACACTAACTAGCAGGGAAGAAGGGGGAACAGGAATGGCATTTCTCGACAGGAGGAGGGATGAGCTCTGGTCCCAGGAGATCTGAAAGCTGTGATACAGCCCACAGCCATTCCCCTGCTCTGCTAAAAACTCCTTTCAGAAACTCCACTTGATTCTTCTACTCAAGAAGAGGGGTTTTTTTTGTTTTGTTTTGTTTTGTTTTTAAATCCGTAGATTTTTCACTGCCCTGATCCATTCAGCTGCTTGGGATGCAGGAGGTACCATGAGGAAATCTTTTCCTCAGCTACTGCACAGCTTTAGCATAGCCCCTTCAAGACTCAGTACACACCAAGAAGTCACGCTTATCATCTCTAATGACCTGTGCAGATGACGCAAGAGAAGAGTGTGTGTTTCCAGAACTGGAATGTCATTACCAGAGGACATATGGAGTCAATAATGACCTTCCACAATATTAACGGCTTAACCTGTTGGCTACATAATATTCAACTACTGCTACTTGAAAACTGGTTATTTCCATGGCTCTCCAAAGGGCAGGGTAACATGAGAAGATGTCTCTTTCCAGTACAGAAGGCACCTACAAACTTGTTTTAGGAGACTGTGATTTGCTCATGGCAGAGACACAATATTCATTTCATTCCCAACCCTCTCCGCAAAATGCTGGCCAGACCACAGCCGGTCCAATTATTTCTTGAGAAAAGAGTATCA